ACGCGGTCGACCGCCCGCCATGGACGACTGGAGTTCTTAGCCCAAAAGACATCGGAGCCATCACGGACTACGTGGCCACCAGGCAAGAGTCCGAAGCTGATACCTACAACAGTAGTTGCTTGTGTGCAGCTACCCCGAGCGCTGCCCAGGGTTTGGCAACGATTTGATGGCGGGTGGAGGTTCGCCTAGCGATATAGTCGGACTAAACATGCGCGCATGATGTGCCGAAAACAATAAAATAGAGTCAGACTGCTAGAGTAGTAGATCATGTGCGCACAAAAATTGATCAGGGAGCTGCCGATACATCCAGTAGCACGAAGGAATCACGGGAGGGATGCCAGGGCAGTCCTAGTAGGTCTAACTGGGGGATAAAACGAACAGCACCGAGATGCAACGCAAACCCCAACATGAGCGAAGTACAGGTTTGGGGCATTCAGAGGCATGCGGGGGGGGGGTATCGTTGGTTCCGCCTAACAGAATGAGCCTCGGAATTCTGGAGCGTGGATAGGCGAAGAAGTTGGCATCCGGACTGGGACAATTGCGTACCAGTACGCCGAAGGTCCTCCATGAGACTGACAGCTGCATCGTAGGTGACCCATTAGGGGTAACTCGCGACAAAACATCAACATATATGCTACAGTGCAGACGAAGCAGTCGGGACATCTTTTTTCGATCGTTTCTCGGTTCTTACGAACGCTTTCACCTGGACGTTGTTTGACTGACCTGGATGTCTTGGTCTCGCACATTCATGTCGCGGTGCTTGTAGAATTCAGTGACATTGTTGGCGGCGCCGCCAGCATCGAATATTTGAGTTTCCTTTCAAATAAAACTTGGTACACGCCTTACGAACACCACCTTGGGATCCTTCCTGTCAGGATGTTTAGCTCGCGTTCAACGACTATGAGCATGCGACCAACAATAAAGTAGTACGCTCCACGTCCGGTGCATCGTCTGCTCTGCCTTGCCTTCTACAACAACAGCTACTACCGCCACTTCACCCTCTACAAGCATATCTTCACGACGAAGATTAACGTGGTAATCGAACAAAGGCACCTGCACGGCGTCGAGGAGCCACCGCTGGCTCCCCCCCTTAGCGGTGCACTCATGATGATCAATGTAAGCCAAAATGGTGTGACTTTCAAGCTTTCGGACCAGCAGGGAGGAACGAAGCAATTCTGTTGGTCTGAACAAGAACAACACATGACACAAGGTTTTCTCTCCAAGCCCGGAGAAAAAGGGGTACGTAGTTGTACGTTGAGAGTTCCCATACGTGTCATCGTCAGCTCAAGGTACAGGTAAACTCTACAGTAGCCACCGCAGCCCAAAGCCCGACTGAGTAACACTTTCCGATCCATGTGTTCCGTGGTGTGTGCGTTAGCACCCCACTCTCGACACATAAACGATCCCGCACCAGAATTTTCACGTGTCCTCAAGACGTAGAAAGGACCTCTTTCAACATTTGTTTTGGAGGATTAGGTTGTCGTACGCTCTCTCTTTGCGGTTCAAAGGCCAAAGCATGGTCCGTGCAAAGGGATGGGCTGACCGTGTCTGATTGCTGGTCCGGAGTTGGTACTCCAACAACATTGACGCATTGTACACAACGCGTCCTTGGCACTCACGGCATGTGTAGAGCGTAGCATTGTCCATGCGTTTCCGTTTCGTACAGCGCTACTTCACGAAAGCATCACAGGGAGAGAAGAATGTGTGCGGGTCTGCATGTTTCATCGCATGGGTAACCGATGCTAAAACTCTTCACCATTTTTTGAATTTGTGGACGTACGGACGGCCTTCGGCTTTGTTGCATCTTACGTAAATTCATGCACATGAAACATTGGAGCAAACGAGTTGCTTCCCCTTTGGCAGGTTCCTGCCGTGGCGGGCGAGGAAGGAGACCAAGATGCGATGGCCATGGGTATCGATGGCGTTATTGCTCCCGAAAAGGAATAACGAATCGGGTTCGGAGGAGGCAACGACTTCAAGTTTACGTGAGTGTTGCGTTGTTTCGAAGAGTTGGGTTGCTCACCTTGGTTTCTAGGGGGGGCGACGCTCGCAAGGCCTTCGACCGAAAAGCTTTTCGAGGGCTGTACGAAGCGTTTGCGCGCGTTTCAAACTCAAGTTACCTTGGAAGCATCAAATCACGAGATGATTTCACAGGTTCTGTAATGTAAACACAGCAAGTTCAAGTCTGGGTGCCAACTCTTTGAGGGCGGGGGAGTGAACATTCGCCACAAGAGAGAAAAACGGGTCATTGACGGGTATTCGAATTGAATTTCTGTCGGGTTTTTCTTCGTTTCTGTTTTGCAGGACCTACTCGGTGCGAAATGACGACCCTTCGTGCATCACATGTCTTCCTGCCATCGACAAGACCCCTCCCAGCTCCATGTGTACCCCCCAGGTGTTCGAATCACTGGTGTCCAATGCCTCGAAGAGCTCGGATTGCATCTAGCTGTAGTTGCCAAGACGAAGGAGGGATTGCTGGCACAGAGATCGTCTTTCCTGTCGGCAACAATCGTTCGGCGTACTGGTGTTTGTAAGCTTCGCGTAGTAATGTATTGGGAGTATTTTTATTGAGTTAGCATATGGTGCTCAACGGTGTGTTTGGCTGAGAAATAGTGTATTGTTCCAGCGAATGTCATCATGCAGGCACCCGGTGTAATACTGTAGCCATATACTCGGCAATCGAGGCTTTGAAAAGGCTACCGACGCAAGTAGCTATAATGTTGCACGGCTAGCAGACATGTAGCGGGCGGAAGATTTTGCTCAAAACAGTCTGGGGGCGCAAGTTTTCCCTCAAGCATTGCCTTCCCGAAGAAAAGAGCAAGCGAAAACTTGTGCTCTGCAGGAGGAAACCCCCCCTTGTTTTCAACGATCGTTTTGACGACAGCTGTGTCCGCAACGGACTGTCTAACGGAACGTTCGCTTCTTGTCTTTCCACTACCTCGTGTCGGTCGTTGGTGACCATTGTCTGGCTTGAATGCTCTTCGCTTTCTGGGTCCTGACGTACATGTAGTCGCCAATCCATTCACGAGCACGTACATGCTCTTCAAGCAATACCGTTCGACCGGTTAAACACTCTGAAGCCCTCACCCGCGTGGTGGTTAACTGAGCGACCAATAGCGAAGCCACCTGTCCTTGGGTATTGCAATATTCATGTTCGCGATCCGCGAGGAAAAATGACCACAGAGTGGCCACGGGGATACCACGGGCAATGTACGTACGGGAGATGGCAAGAGAAGTTTTGCGGAGTGTATCTGCAACGGATCCAGGCGCCATATCTCTGGCGAAGGTGATCGAGCACAGGCACAGCTCTTTCAAGGTGGACTCTGAACATCTTTCTCCGGCCAACACCGAGCCAAAATCCATTGAAGGCCTACAACACACTTCCACAAAGTTGTTGTCACCACATCGTTCGCGTCTCGACAGGACCGCTGGTGGGGGCACTGGAGAAAACCGGCCAATTAAGGCACGCTGAAGCCACCTCTCGCGCCAACAGCTCGTTCTCGGGCGTGAGCACAAATTTCAAGTGTTATTAATTATCGGACGATAGGGTACATTGTAGGCTATCTCTCTAAAAAAAAAAAAACGTAAGGGCATATGAGATAGAGCTGATGCACTGCACCTCAGTGTTTAACGAAACACGGTGGAAAACACCCCCCCCCCATTAAGGAACACTTTAGCTTTGTGGCTGATTTCGTACGTTCTGAAGCGGTTCATGATCTGATTTTTTGTGTACATGCGTCTGTTGCAACATGTATCCATTTGAGGGGAAACAATGGAATTGATCCACGCCCGGGGACAAAATCCTCACATCCCCGGGTTTCCGGCTGAAATCGGGGATGGATTTTACCCCATTTTTGACCGTACGGCGGTGCTGCGCACATGAAAAGAGCCTGAACTAAGAGATTCATGCATGGTGCATTCTGGTCATATGTCGACTCCCTACAAAGAGATTAGGACAAAAAACGTTGCGTAGGTGGTGTAATGCCCGTTCAAAGAGGCAAACCTTGGACCTGGCCGCTACGGTACGAATTCTCCGCGGGGACCCCAAGGCCATTTCCCTTGTTGCACATTCACCTTATACACTCCCACAACGTGCCCTTTTGTGGGTAAGTGTTTTCAATGACAAGGAACGTTGTTGCAAAAAAAGAAAAATCCATGCAAACCCGGGGACAAAATTGCCAAATCCCCGGTTTCGCGGCAAAATCAAGGTATCCCCCCCCCCCCCCCCCCCCCCCCCCCCCCCCCCCCCCCCCCCCCCCCCCC